TCCTTCAAAATATAATTCTTTTTCATCATGATAACATAATAATTCGATTCACTTTTATATACATGTACAATTCTCAAATTAAGATTTTTTTTTTTGCTGAATGGAAGCAGTTATAATACTAGAAATGCATTCGTGTCACAACGATGTGCGTGCAATGACGCCATGTTTCTACGTGTAAAACGAAAGAGCTTCTCTCGGACTATCCAGATCAATGTGTACGAAGTCTGTAGCTTCTGTGATATTGGAGATAGGTAGGGCGAAAGAAAGGCCTCAACAGTGACATTGATGGGATGGTAGTGACTATGCCTACGAAGTTTGAAAGAAATTGTGATAGGGGAAGGTACCTAGAAAGGGCTCGCAATTAGCACTGCGTGCAAAAACCAATGGGATTTGGTGCATGTTCGTCATTGCAATAAAGATCGTTCTCGGGGCCAAGAGCGTGGACCAGATATGCCCCATAGACAATGCGTGTAATGCATGGGCGGAAAACGTACAGGTTCTGTATTATGACCGGACTTAAATTATTATATTTTCTCTCTCATTATGTCTCTTTATGGGACGTATTTGGTATCATTGGAAAGAGAATTTGTATGGCTGTTATTGTAAACCACTCTCTTTTTTTTTCTATGATAATCCTATTGAAACACGTGATGTAAAATAGATTTATAGGAAAAAATGGCGTCTTAAATGGTCCCCTTGACCAATTTCAAAAATCCGGCCATGAGGTGCCCTGCGTATTGCAACTCGGAATGTCACTGCAAATTTTGAAGGAGAAAAAAGGACGTTTAAGGGGCGAAAAGCAGTCTGAAAATGACGTCATAGCCGAAACGTGTTATAATCGGGCGGAAACTCGGCGGAATTCGTGTAGTGACGCTTGTTTAAATGCGATTTACTCACAATTTTGTGTGTGAACATATACAATACTTGGGATCATTCGAAAGGGCACTCCATTGCGGTCAGATTGACACCATTGTCATCTGCGCGCAATGTATTGCACGCATTAAACGCGCTATCACGCAATGCATAGTAAATACATCATTTTTGGAGATAACTTTGCGCTGACACAATCGAATTTTACCAAACTTTTGCGGACAGTTGTCACGTATATAAATACATGTGTGCCAAGTTTCATTGACGTAGGTCAAAGGATCGTAATTTTAGAGCAAGTTGAAGTTATTTTGGAATCTTCTTGAAAATGGCGAATTTGGAGGGCAATTTTCTACAATTTGGTCAGTGATAGGGTATATAATTTTGTATATGGTTGGAAAGGGCATATATTCAAGTATCTAAATCCAAAAAAGAGTACGGGTTTGCCAAGCCATAATGGAGATAAGGCCACAGAAAGAAAGCCAATTCCCAGAACTTTAGAGGGCGCTTTTTATGTTTTGCAAAGCCATTGGAGCGTGAAATTTGGCATTGCTATGTGCAATTATGAGATAAGGATACTGTGAGATTTAAATACAAAACATAATTTATATGAGAAAGTTATGTCAGTAACTGTTATAGATTATTTAGGGTCCATTTTTCAAGAATTTGAGATATTTTTGACGGAGTCGGTTTCTGATTTGAATTTTGAGTACAAAGATGGCATTTTGAAGGTCAAGTGATACGTCGCAGATAAAAGAACATCTCTTAGACTATCTAGAGGAATTTGTTAGAAGTTTGTAGGATCTAAGGTAGTGGAGATAGGAAGGAAAAAGGAAAGGCCTTAAAATAGACCAGAAACGGACAAAATGGCGCCTGGACGTTTATGCATGAGTGATTTCGAAAATCGAAAAATGTAGTGACCTTGATGAGATGTTATGCTAGGAGTCCACTGGGCCAGCGCCAGTTGGTGCCAGTTTGCGCCAATGCAATTTACTATGGCGCCCAGTGTCGCCAATAAGGTGCCTAGTGGCGTGTAGTGGCTCAAACTGCCTCCCAACTGGCTCGTGGTGGCCCGTAACGGCACCAAATTTGAATGTGGCGGCAAGAAAATGTCAAAATGTTTGAAATTTTCGTCGCGCCACTTGCATCGAGCAATCAGCGCCAAGTGTCCGCCAAGTGGCACCAAATGGCGCGAACATATCGCCCTTTGGCGCAAACAATCCGCCTATTGGAATCCACTGGAATGTAATGGCGCGCGCCAAGTTGCGCCAATGAGATTTCGCCACCTTGTTTGCGCCACTACGCGCCAAATAAATCCAACAGAGGCGGATAGCCCGCCAAAGCGCGCCAAATGTGCAGTGGCGCGAGCAAAACGGCACCCGAGTGGTGACTACTTCGCGCCAAATGCCACCTGGTTGCCCGCCATCTCTCATCATCTTCTGATGGAGCAGCATCATCACTCCAACATTATCAAAAGCCTCAGACATATCAAAATTGTAAATATTTAGTAGAGATGTTGTTCATACAACAGCTGAGGAGGGTCTGAACCAGGTAGCCGATGGCCGGTATTTATATATTGGGCAAGTAGCGCGAAGCGGCGGCAAGTTCAAACCAATTTGGCGACCTTTGGCACAAACTAATCACCAAGTGGCGCAAAGTAGCCGTCTATTGGCGCGAATGGCGCCAACAGGGTGAATTTTGGAATCGAATGGCCGTGTAATGGCGCGAACTGGCGCAAACTGGCGCAACATTTTGGAGCAAGCCAGGTGGCATTTGGCGCACGCCATATGGCACCCAGTTTATTCCACTTGGCGACACATGCCGAGCGGACATTAATTCGGCGCCACAGCGAGCCACTACGCGCCAATCACATAATCTTTGGCGCGAGCTGGCACCAACTGGCGCTGGCTCAGTGGACTCCTAGCATAAGAGACTATGCCTATGAAATTTGAAAGGAAACGGACATGAGAAAAGGATATAATTAGTGATGACAAGCACTACGTGCAAAACGAATGGGATTTTCGATAAGAAGAACTATGACGAAGGTCGTCATTGCAATGAAGCAAACTATAACCCTTTCTCTTACTACCGAAGCCCAAACAAAACACCATCCCATACAAAGGTCTTGCAAATGAACACACACACGCACCACAACAACGCATTCCCATTTACCCACCCTCACAACCAACATGGCTGGGGACAAAAATTACAAAGCTGAGACAAAGTAAGGCTATAGGCCTACATTATGCATCGATATTTTTTTCTGCATCGTTCGAATTTCGTGAACGACGCTTTTCTCAAACATTGTAGGGCACTTATCGTTGAGTTTAAGTTCTTAATCTTTAAATAGTATACATTTCCTTAGATTTAGATATAATAAATTAAGCTATTATGTAAAAACTGAACTCGAATATAAAAATGTAAACATAATAAAATAGTGAGTAGAAATCCAGAGCCCCCCCCCCCTCCATCTAATGACATGTTTACATTTGTAACAGAAGGTTTTGAATTGTTTAGATTCGCTATAGTACTCAGATGAATGGCAGTTGATATATATTGAAATCCTCTCCCCCTCCCCATCGTCATTTCAAATAATTTCTTTCTGTCTATAGGAACAGACTAACGTCTCCATTTATTGAGTGGAATGCCCAGGCCACGTTATCACGTGATATTATTTGCGTCATAATGCCGATCAGGACCAACTGAGCGATATATATATATTCTTTTGTTTGGTGGGTTAGTTATGTGTATTTTCCACTGGTTTCTTTTTTGGATCACATGATCCAATTGACTGGCATTAGGTACCTGCTCAATTTTACGATACCAGACGGTGAAATACAGACCCACGTACGCAGCTAATATATTTCATTGCCAGGTAAAAAGATCAGATGTAAAAATTTCAGAGGTAATAATGTCAGAGGTAAAAATGTCAGAGGTAAATATGTCAGTGGTAAAAATGTCAGAGGTAATAATGTCAGTGGTTAAAATGTCAGAGGTAATAAGATCAGAGGTAAACATTTCAGACGTAAAAATGTCAGAGGTAAAAATGTCAGTGGTAAAAATGTCAGAGGTAAAAATGTCAGTGGTTTAAATGTCAGAGGTAATAATGTCAAAGGTAAACATTTCAGACGTAAAAATGTCAGAGGTAAAAATGTCAGTGGTAAAAATGTCAGAGGTCATAATGTCAGTGGTAAAAATGTCAGAGGTAATAATGTCAGAGGTAAACATTTCAGACGTAAAAATGTCAGAGGTAAAAATGTCGAGGCTATAAGTCAGAGGTAAAAATGTCAGAGTTAATAATGTCAAAACTCTTTTTAGTTGCCCCTTGATAAGCTTTATTTGTTGCGAGAGATCAAACTCTGAAATTGACAAATTTATGATCAACATATCAGAAACATTGTTTTACTGTATACATTTATAGCATTATGAGACTTGAATACATGATAATATTGTTTGCAGGATATTTGGTACAGGATTTATATAAGGTGTGCTGGTATATCATGTAGACAGTTTCCAGCAGGTACATATCGTACAAGTCTACACGTTAAACAAAATGCATCGTGAATTTGGAAAGAAAAAACCAAGTTGACTTTGAGGGTCGACTGAAACCATATTTCTCTCACGTTTCTTAATCACAAACATGATGTTATCATATAAAGTAACACTGCATTATGTTAAACCCAACAAATACAATAATTTCTGCCTTTCGAAACGTACTGCATAAAAGTCGAAAGCACATGACAAAATACCTGGCTAGATATATCTCAACGTTTACTACATGTAGGCCTACTATCTGACATTCCCACTCGATAAACAAAAATACTCATGCAACTGCATTGCTGAATGAAACATTACGAAACCCCTCTTAAATACTGAAAGCATATTAAAATAGTCGTCGTTAGATCGCTACTTCGTAACGTAAGAGCTAAAGAAGAAGCGTAAAGTAATTTCATTATGTTGTACCGGGTAGGCCCTATTAATCATTGAATGCATTAGGTTTGACAGTTTTCAGTGCAATATTAGACAGCTAAGTATTTACAAAATATTTCACACTTTTGATTGAGTTGGCCAATTTATTCACCGATTTTGTTTTCTTTCTTCGATCCTCAGGTCGTGTGCTTGAGTTGACAATTATGGCTACTTCCTTGGAGCAAATGCAGGCTGTCAATAAGAAGAACCTCGAGTGTCCTATCTGCCTGAGCTTCTTCAAGAAACTCAATAACCTGACCTGCTCCCATACCTTCTGCAAGGGCTGTCTTGAGACTCTCCTGGAGTCTCGGGGAAAGCTGTTGTGTCCTACGTGCAGGAAGAAGACTTCGGTTCCTGGTGGAGACGTGGGTAGACTTCAATCAAACATAACAGTCAGATCACTTGTTGAAGATGTGGAGACCCAGGGCCAGGTCTTTACCAACCGTAATCAAGAAAACAACTCATTACAAAGAAAATGGAACAAATGTCGAAAACATCCGAACTACGATGAAGAATGTTTTTGTCTCAACTGTAACAAGTTCATCTGCTGCAAGTGTGGCATATTAGAGCATGCAAAGGATGCTCACACTATCCTGGAAGCAGGCGAACATGAAACTGAGCAAAAGAATCACTTCGAGAAACTTGCATCTAAAGCGGATGAAAAGATACGCAACGTTGACCAGTATTTCACTTTCATCGATGACCAACGTAAAAGGCTGCCCAACGTACAGGAACAACTCAATTGCGAAATAGATGCGTCTTTTGAGGAATCAGTTGAGAAATTGAAGGAAAGAAAGACGGTGTTGAAAAATGAAATTGAGAACAAGCTAGGGAAACTTAAGACTTCATCGGGAGACGTGGCGAAGCGGATTCGTAAGCAGATAGACGAGATTAAGAAGGTTCTGGACTTGGCTAAGAATAGTCTTAATTTTCCTCTCCAGACAATGGCTCTGACCGCACATAAAGCGATGTGTCAACAGCTCGAAGAGCTTCTGAACCAGATTAGGCCAGATGAAGAGCTGCCCAGAAGAACTGCTGAGGAAGGTGAAAGAATTGGCTTCAGGAGTCAGGGATCGGATGCACTCCAGTTGGGCCAGCTAAGACAAAGAAAGTCTAAATGGGTTCTGCGCACGGAAGCTCCACTGCCTGCAGGAAAAAGCATGAGCGGGATGGTAATATCACCAAACAATGATATGGCTGTTGGTTGTGACGAGGGAGGAATATTCATATATTCTTCTGAGGGCATCATACAAGATACAGTTCTGAAATCTGTCATAGTTAGGGCCTTACACGTCATGCCTGATGGTGGATACGTCATACGCGACACTAATAACAGAATTTCCTTGTACACAGAGCTTTGTGAAAAGCTTGATGTAACGTTTGAGACAAAGGGTGTTTCGGAAGGTATATATGGAAGTCTCACTGTAGGCAAGGATGGGCTGATCTTCACATATTATAACATATGCAAGAAAATACAGGTATTTAAGCCAAAAGGGGGGAAGGCCATTAGAATAATAACGTGTAAGAGATTTGTATGGCAGATGTTTGCGATGACATGCAGCCAAGCGATTGTCGTAAATACGAGTCTGTCTATTCTCGACTTTCCGTCTCAGGTAGAAGTTATCAACGATGTGTCTGGTGCTATCATCCATAGCATCCGCAAAGATAGTTATAACCCTTACCCTGCTGTGTGTTAGGATGAATCAGTTATCATTTCATGGGTGAAGCGAGATCAGGGTCTGATGAGCATCGTTCAGTACACACAAGAGCTAAAATACATCAAAAACATTCTCACTGATTTCAAGATGGTGAAATCATATAATAGCTTCTTGCAAGTGTTCAAACAGGGAGAGATTGCTTTCTGCACTGATGATATGATATACATCTTCCATGAGACATGGGAGTAAATTTCAGCTTTGCAGATTAAACGTGGAGTTTTACAAACTTACAAAAACGCAGCCATTTTAGATTTTAATTCGGTCAAATGGAATACATGCACCATATAAATATTATCTACTCTTGCCTGGGCTCCATTTTGTCACTGCTCATAATAGTCACCAACAAACACCAGATAAAAATATATATTGAGGCACCTCGTTGCCAAACGATTAGGATATATGGGGCACCTGTTGCCCGAATAATTATTATGAGATAATGGTTCATCGAATGTCGGAAGTTTAAAACTCCCGGATGCAGTCCTCTCAGTTCCCTTGCCTTGCAAGCCTGTGCAGGAATGTGATAGTCCGTCTAGACTCCGATGTATTATAAGGCTTTCATTTTGTTGACCGATTAAATATGTTTTGTTTGTATTGTTTTTTTTTAATATGCAAGGTATTATAGATATACAATTTGTCCAAGTTTTTGACTTAATTTATACATTGGTTATCATGGTAAAGCCAAAATTCTATTTCCGTTTCTTTGTTTGTTTTTGTTCCAAGGACATTTTGATAATTTAGGACATCACTTACTTTTATATAATTATCCATAATTGTTTACATAATGTGGGTAAACCCTTTTTTAAGTGCCTTACTCTGTACAATCACTAGTTTCCTTCCTCCATCTCTCTTTGCTTATCATGCATTTATATTACATTTATTCATTCAGTCATTCATTCGGCTAGGTTTGTTGAAAGAAAATTTCTTTGTAAATCAGTCCATATTTTTATTGTTCAAATTCATTCACAAAAATTGGCAGGGAACAACAATTAAGATTAGAAAGGAATAATAATTGTTTAACATATTGCACCTTAAATTTATAATGAACATAAACAAATCTTTTCAATTATAAAGACAGAAAACGAGAAATTAAAAGGAACAAGGTGGGGAACTCGACAGAGTGAAGAGAAAGAAAAAGATGAGGGATCTTTTGAGAAAAGGTAAAAGAATTAAGAGTGCCATTTCATTTGTTCATGGTTCATGGTTTACATTCATATTGCTCCGTTTAGTCTCATTGCACAACGCCTCCTATCGTCAGAGCATGGTCAGAGTCAGCAGCCTAACATGTTAGCCTATGGACGTTTTTTTTTTTAAATCGTTAAAAATTCATTTTTTTGTTTAAACGAAAAGCACATCCACCCCGACGTACTTTATCACTAGCTCTTTCATTGGAGCCCTCATGTCTCATTGAATTTTGAAAGTTCACCCACCGTAATTTTTCAAAATAGGTTGCAAGCTCGTCATTGCCTATAATACACATGCGAAACAAGTCTAACTTTGGACTCAGTTTGCCAAGCGATTTGAAGATTATAGGTCGAGCACACGAAACATAAAAAGCATGAATTATCATAGATCACTTCTGCCTATTTCATTATGTCCATTTCATCCAACCCCTCACCGTAATTTTTCAATTTAGTAAAAGCAAACATTTAGCCGAGGTAAGCAAAAACATGAATATTCATGACACACTATGGACTATTCGGTTATTAATAGAGGGGTGCAATCGGTCATCACGTCAAACTCCCCTAATTGCCACCAATTATTTCATATAATTATATAGTTTGGTATGTTTCTTTTACTCACTCATGAATTATTAAATATCAATGATGGTTTAAAGAAATGTAAAATAAATTTTAGTTGATATTTATTAACAAAGTAATTTATATTTAGCAAAGCAATCTCACATACAAAATTACTATCAAGTGTCGTCTGCTACGCCGATTGTCGCCTGCTTCGTTAAAGGCACATATTTATCGTTTGGACTGTCAGGTATACCAGGGAGATTTGTATTTTCCTGCAGTACAACGTATAGCAGGAAAATGTTGTATATGCGGATCTTTTAATGATTACGTAATGGAAGTGGCGAGGCGGTATGGTTTGAATAACTTAGGCAGGTGAAAGTTATTGTATTGAGAAGGAAAGGAATGTTCAGAAAGGCATAGAGAGGGAAGTGGGCGTGGTAGCCATTCTAGCTTTGCACCTACATCAGTACGAGAATACACCCGACGGCGCGGTGGCCTGTACTTATAGCGCGCAAACACATCACACCCAATGGCATAAACGGATACACCCGGTACCTTGCAACACAGTGGAACATTCTAAGAAATTAAACAATTATCTACAAAATGGACCTCTTGAATCATCTGAGAAGTAACTTAGCCTATTCTGATGACTTCAATGAATGCCAAGATAACAATGGCTGCTTTTCCATCCAAAAATAAAACTAGTTTGCAATTAGAAATAGTCAATTTCTCGATAATTTCACAAAATATATTTGCCGCCGCATTCAATATGACGTCATTGACAGCTGATTGGCTAGTTTGGTAGTGACGTCGAACGAGCTATGTTTGTGCTGCAGTGATCGAGCGAGCGAAAATGAGACAATCGGAGCAATATGATAATCCTAATACAAGCGACTTAAATAATGATATGTTTATCGATACAAAAACAGATATAAATACCTGTACTGTGTCCGTTGCAAGGTAAACAGAGTAAATATGACAATGAAACCGATGATTAAGTTTGGAACTATAGATCATGTTTTACATCGCTACACTATAGATCATGTTTTACATCACTACACTATACCGGTAGCAACTAGCAAGGACCAACCGCTTTATAAAGGGAGAAGGATTTTATTTCAGTCTATAGCCCAACGACGTGACCAGAACACACCTATGTTGTGAATTGCAGGTTCAATTTAAATTAAATTTACCTATTAAGGGGTCAATTATTGAATGTTATTTTGATTGGCTTTATGTACTTTATGCTGTTAGACTTGTAATGTTGGTGTATATGAATAAACTATTTAAGCTATTATTTGTCGCATGTGCATTAAATGTATGTACATGTAGGCCTAATTCAGGAATTCCTTGTTATATTTTGAATTGGAAAAGAAATCAGTGTTTTATTTAACTTAATTTATACTACATGTATTTTATCTTGTTATTCTGATATGCATTAAAGTTAAAATTCCCCTTCCTTACCAGGTGTATGATTCTTTCATAGAAGATTACTTAACTTTCTTCTTTTCTATCTTTGAAAGAGCATAGAGACATTTATGCATCATTGCGCTATAAAAGCATAATTATCATTATGATGAAATTATGTCAGTTATCATATTCCATTCAAATTGTGTTACATATTTCATGTTCAATTAATTTACATTTTGTAAAAGGAATACATTAATAAAATGATTAAACTTGAAGTCCGGATTTGGTCACTGATATTTCCAGAAAATAGTTCTTTATACAGTGTCATTCGTGTGAAGAAAAACTATTCTAGAAAAGTGAAAGACCGAGTCATCAAGAGTATTGATTTTAGAGAATACATGCAGGAGGTATGTGATAGCTTATGTAGATGATATTCGTATAATAAGTCCGCGGTTAAAATGGCGAGCGTGAAGGTCAGCAATCAAGGATAAATCAGAAGACAACTTTTGCCATAATAAAGATGTTCCATCGACATTAGTGTGAGTAAAGACTATCCTTAATCCAGCGAATGACGTCAAACTGTCTTCAGCATTCTTTGCATCAGACTCATTTTCGAGTTTACATCAAAAACTGAGGGCCTTTCAATCAGTGTTGTTTTTTGTTTTAAACGGACCTCTTGTCACTAGCGGGGGAGGGGTGCCCACGCATCCCGCACACCCGCCCCCCCCTTAGTTACCGGCCTGCATAGTGACTAAAACAGAAGTCAATCCTTTTAAAAAAAAATGGGATAACTACCCCTCCCCTCCACGCCCCACCGCCCAGAAGGCTAGCTGCTTCATTCAGTTATGGGTTGTATCCCTTGAATTCACTAAACTATATCGACTCCCATGATCATAACAACATTTTTGTAAGCCTTACAAATCCACTTCAAGGGAATCAGCATGCATGGAGGTGCCCCAAGCATCCAAATATGAATCAATAACATTCATTTGCATTCAATAAAATAAATGTATTAAGTTGTAAACAAAGGCATTTACTGTATGCATTGAGCAGTTACAACACACTATAGAGAAATTGAGAAAATTTGAATAATCATTGTTCAACCGAAAAGTCCTCGAATTACCAAAGTCATCCAGTTCAAGAAAATGATACTGAAGAAAAGTATTCAAAACATCGAAGAAATAGGATTATATACATACAGGGTGAGGGGGGGTATATCTTGTCTCAATATACAATATTGTGTGTTTTTATATTTAAGAGCACTTATACGCAATATACCACCAACAATAATTACGTCATAAAATTTAACTACCGGTAGATTAGATTATTAAAAATTGGAAACTACTAACAAAGCGCCATGCTGATGAGATGACGGTTATTTGATTTTCCCGTCAAAAGTATCGAGGGGCTGCAGCCTTCTAGCCCCTGCCTCAAATACTCTTGATGGAGAATGAGAGAAATATTAAGGATGAACAAAAAAAAAAGTTTTCCAAGAGTGTTATTTTACATGTATATGGCAAGATTGATCATCATCTATCAATTTCAAATGAAAGAGGGCGCAATATAATATAAAAAAAAGAACAAAATCAATCTTCGTTAATTTAGCCTAATCGCAATCGAAAGTTAAAAAGACACTTTTACTTTGAGAAAATCATTTTTTTCAGAGAAATTTCCTGTTGTCCAACTGGACATGGTTTCTAGAATCTGGTCATATCTTCAAATCCCAGGGTCTCTCAGTCCAGGAAGGCGGGGAGGGTGTATCAAAATAACTTTCCTGACTTATTATTTGTTTTTGTTTTTTTGTTGGGGGGGGGGGGGGGGGAGGGGGAA